AGTAGCAGTATATAATATAATATATATACATATAATATATAACATAGTAATAGGTATACACTAGTATATCTATTACATGATTAATATAGTACCGTATAGTAATAGACAAAATAACATAACAGTAGGTATAGATCTATACATGTAGTATATACTATGTACAGTACTATAGTATACATATATATAGCTACAGTAGGTATATAACATATATTATTACATAAAGAAGTATATATATATAACTATATATACTATATAGTTTACATATATATACATACATATATGTATAGCATACATTATAATAATACAAATATTACATACATACATAAGTTATATATACAATATATATACATATTATACATATATAGTATACATATATTTAATAATATCAAGATATATATATACATATATATACAGATATATATATATATGATATATATATATACATATATACATATATATACATTATATATACATACTAATATATATACATATATATATACATATATATATACATATATATATACATATATATACATATATATATACAATATATATACATATATATAAATATATATTATACAATATATACATATACTATATATATAATATATAATATATATATATATATATATATATATATATATAATATATACATATATATATATATATATATATTATATATATATATATATATATATATATAATATATTAATATATATATATATACATATATATATATATATATATATATACATATATATATTATATATATATATATATATATATATATATAATATATATATATATATATATATATATATATACATATATATATATAGAAAATGCGGAAATCAGGTAAAGTGCATTAATGACTGAAATATATATATGGAGAGCGAGAGAGGGATCATTTTTATTCCTGTTTAGTTGATGATTTGATTGATATATTAGACCTGCCCAAAGAAATAGGTTATCGTTTAATATTTCGAAAATAATTATCATGAAATCTTATCACATTGTTTTATTTTAATTTCTCATCATATTTGTTGGACACCAACGACAAATAAAGGCATAAGAATAGGTTTAGTCAAGGCTGAGGGAATATTCCCTTAGCCATATTTATAGATAGATTGAAGCTAGACTCTGCAAGCGTGATTTTACATCATTTATTTTCACCAACAGTTTCGAAAACAATATGATAAAATAGGTTGACTGACAATACACTTTAAATGAATTTGTATCTCCAACTTTAAACTGATATAATAAAAATAAATACTTCCTATAAGTATATGATTGCAAGGGGTGGAGCCAAGTGGCCCTTCACACTCAAGCTGACCCCAACCATACCGTGCTTCATGATTCATGAACGTGACTGGAGGTTGTGGTTCAAAGGAAGCACCCAAAATAAATAACAGGAAAACAAGGGAATCAGTATCTAAATCTTTACACCCCATTACCCTCAAAGTTTTGTGGCCAAAGCCATTTATTAATGTTAGGTTGCTCAAGGGGCGCTATTTGAGATGATACATTATTTACACCCACAAATATTACACACTGTGTATGTGTGTGTGTGTGAGAGAGAAAGATGGGGGGGTTGCTGGCCTTGATAGGATGGGACTGAAACATAGCAGAACACTCATTGTTGCTTTGCCTAGTGAATACAGATCACCCCCTTCCTTTTCCCCCATTTCGTAACTATATTCCAGCGTGTGTTAAGGCTGGGCAGCTAGTTCAAAGCAGGACAAGGAAAGAAAGATACTTCTCTCTAATGACAAAAAGCGCACTACTCGAGAATGGTCGACAACGAGTTTGCTGTTGTGTGTTGCATGTATAACAGCTGCAAACATGTATCACAATAAGTCATGTCATATATGGCAGCAGTAATACCATTGTCTAGGTTAAGATAGACTTTTAATATTGATGATCGTTAAGGGGGTATTTAATGGTTGAAGTCACGTATGATTTTTTTAGGCGTAACGAGCGATGGATAAAATTACTTACGATTGAGTGCATGACGGCAAAATTATAGAATACAGCCTCGAGAGGTAGATACCAAACTTGATTTCAACCCTCGTTCAAGGTAATTCTTTATATCCAATGCGCCTCGTCTTTCCATGCTCTACGTGAGAGCTAGTGTGCCTATCGAGAATTCTCTTTGAAAGGCTGATGAACTGCACACCATTACCATAATACCAATCATAACATATACTCATATAAATTATATACAGTTTGTTTTTGCTGATCGCACATAGTAATTTAATATTGGTAAAAGTTTTCTTTATACTATATATATAAAAAATTGCGTATCCGAAGGACTACAACACACTAACCATAACACACACACCACACACATAGAGAGAGTAAAAGTGAGAGAGAGAGAGAGAAGTAGTAAGAGAATAGAGAGCTATATATATATATATAACGTATACTATATATATTATATGGCTGATGCTGGATGACATTCAGACCCGATTGCCTCTGGCAAAGATATAGTTCATGTCATGACTGACTTCTGTCGATGCTCCAGATGACATATATTCCGCAATCATGCTGAACTTGGTTTGGGCTAACGGAGCGATGATTTGATGGTCAAGTCACATATTTGAGAGATGAATACTGGTAAATACGATGTCAGAGTGATTACTGTACTGAACGAGTGCACATGTTAGAAGTGTGAGAGTGAGGGCAGACCCTGTCGACTCTGTTCCTGTTAGTGATCAGGATGAGTAAGGACTGATCGTCAGTAGTGCCAGCGCAAGCTACTGTTACAGATATGTCAACAAAAGCACATCTAGCAACTGGACTAGCAGGATACTATGGTCAAAGACAGACAGTACAAAGTCAGTGGTGGCAGCAAACCACTGGGGCTATCAAGTTAGGCGAGACTTGACTTGTGCTGGATGACATGCCATTCTAGTCACGATGATCTTGGAAGACCCTAGAAGGCGGCTCTGAATACACTCTTTAGGCAAATGGAGCGAGAGAGCACATTGTGATCTAGAGGTCTCACAACTTGACTGCCCCGAAGATCCAGAAATTCGACCTAGAAAAACGCGTTCACACTCTCCAAAATCAAATTAGGCGTCATCGTAGAGCTATTTGATTGCCACTCAAGGGAAGAGCACATTGAAGTCACAGATGAGTCTTTATCATTATCTTCTACTTACCATTAGTGTAGTTCATTAAATCTCTTGGTGTCTGTGTCAATGAACCTATGACAAGTCACTGCAGACGGATTTAGCCGCCTATGCATCCGAGTGTCTTATTAACTCTTGCTTCGATACATATAGTATCGTTTGGAGAGGATTGTCAGTACTTGTGCAAGTAAGGACCAGCCTAAACTGGATCGTTTTCTATGATTGGTCTCTTATCGTGTATAAATCACTCTAGTTTATTGCACTATTGACATCATCATTCATGCTTTCTTTTATCCCGGTAATTGAGCGGCGAACCTGACTACTCTCATCTCTGCCGAGAGCTTCTTCTGTAACCTATCTATTGTATACAGGTACTCATGCGCGCAGTTGCACGGATTCATGGTATCTGTCTGCATGGACCTATGTGTCCACACAAACGGCTTGCAGCCGTGAGACTGGTCACAGGAACCTGTTATCCTTGTCACTATATCCGTGGATTCGCTCAACATCTGCATTATACAGCCAACACTGCGAGTGCTCCGCTTTCCTCACCGAATGATAAACTGCTAGTATTCCGATCATGCAATGTGCTCATTTCTATTATGCTGCTAACTATGATCGACTCTGTGAGTTTAACCGATCTCTCAATGAGAAGCGTTCTATCGATGTCAGTACCGATACTCAAATACCATAGCAGAGTGAGTAACTTAAAGTATCTGAGCACTCAAGTCTCTCTGTATTCTACGTGACAATCTTAACTCATGTATGGATCCCCTACCGATATTGATGTGCATATGTCACGCTAATAGCGTACCATTTCCCGATCAGTATAGGGTGGTCCGTTCAGCTCCTGATTGACCATGAGTCATGCATATGCGATTATGACCATGCATAGTCAATCATGACAATTTAATTATTATTTATGCATCATAGTATCCAGTTCATGCTGAACTTAACACACAATAACATCATAGGCGAATGATCGAGCGTTTCGCTGCTGTAGTGTTAGATAGCGCTGCGTGCTAGTGTTTTGATTGACTATTGTTTTATATAAAAAATCATTTGCCTGTCTATTCCCTGGAAGATGTCATGCACCAAAAAATTTGTTCTCTTGCTGTTACTAATTCACATGAGCAGTCTCTTCATATCAAGTACTCAAATTGTCATATGGTGTTCATGCATCTCTAAATATGTAAAAACATTATAATCATATTTTGGATTCAAGTGATACAAAATCATGTTGCTTTGTTTGAGTGAAATAGGACTTGGAGGCAAACACAGCGCTTTCTACCGTGTGAAGGCCAAGCGCACCCTAAAGTCTCCCAGAGGCAATGGGATAATCATGTCACAGGCCTTGGTCCCCGGTGACCCCCATGATTAGATGATGAGCTTATGTGAATTAAAGATCAGTTTGAAAATTATGTCATAGCTACATTGAAATTATTGGTATGATTTCATTTTGTTTTTCTTTCTTTGATATACACTGTGACCCATTGGGGGTTTAGCTGAAATTTCCTATATTAACCTAATTATACCAATGTGAAACTGAGCTCATCAATATGAAAATATTTGGATTGATTGAATAGTGATAGGTTGTTTGCCTTATTTATGGAATTACATTTATTTTCTTGTTCTAAGTATTTTTATCAGGCTTTGACTGAAATTTTTCTTCATATCATGGACAACTTATCAGTGCCTATCAATAAAGTCTTCAGTAAGCATTCACAAGAGGCTTGAAAGACATCTTACAGATAAAAATAGATAATTTAGTGTAAAAGCATGATAGAATAAGTACTCTTTCAAACTTTCGTTTTTGGAAAATTAAGTTTCCAGTAGGGCCAGTAATTGGTAAACAATTTTATTTTTCAGCTCCAGCATTGGCCGTGAGATAGTTGGGTGTCGTGGTGATAAAGTCTGTTTTGCTGTGCGTGCTATAACAATTAATTATCCTGAAAATATGTTCCTGACTTGGCTTATGGTTGCTTGTTCATACAGACCTGTCGGATGAAAAGTTATTGAAACATACAATAGATTTTCTTTGAGAATTGTATAACATTGCACATAATGAAATAAAAAATATTTATGTACCTATAAAATAAACCCTTAAATTTTATTTACCATTCTTTTTAACCTACAATTAATATTTGTATGTGGGGTCTTTCAAAATGATCTGTATCTAGAAGGGTGGGAGACACATGTGCACAGATTTATATACAAATTTATATGTGTGAGTTCACATAAACATGAACAAATACATTCACACATGAATAATTTTTAATCAGGAAACAGAGACTGAGGCCCATGGTAGGGGATCACCCCCTACATTGGGCCTCAACCTTTGCCTCAACCAATTTTGCATAATCTTTTCTTCTCCCCTTTTCCTTTTCCTTCTCCTCATCCCCTTCTGTCCATTTCCTTAGGTGTGAGAGCCGTACTGAAAGGCTGTCTTTCTGTCAGTCATGAACAGCCTCCAGGAGCCATGGGCACGGTATTCTCTTGGTTCATCACCTAGCCCTTATGGGGACCCTGAGGGGAAGATCATTGCTTTTCCCGACTTATTTCAGTCTAACCATGGCCAATAATGATTCTTTACCCTTATTAGGAGCATTAAGGTTTTCCTGTTCATCAACTAGCTGAACTAAATTTGATTTTATTGGTTTCCTAACCCTTGCCTCTCCTTTGACCATGACTCCAACCACTGATACTAATATTCCCTCCATGATGTTTACCAACAACTCTATCCATTCTGAACCACTCACTCATTACTCAACCTTCAGAATGCACTTCTTCCTTTCTCCCAACATTCTCCACTCCATCTCCTACTGCACCATCTTCTTCATTGTCTACCCCTCCCCCTTCATTACTACTATTCATCCTTATTGTCCTCCTCCCCACAATACTACCTCACTCCACACCACTCCATCTCCCTTCCACCCTCATCCTTCTACTGCTTCCAACTCAATAAACCTTTCCAGTACTCTCTTTGGCCCATGCCAAGTGGGATTCATTCTTTGTGATTCCTCCCACAGGCCCTTACTCTGATAATACCCTTCTCTTCCAACATTGTCTCCAAAATCAAGTAGGCAAAGTTTCTTTTCACAGCCATTCCGATCATTTACGCCTTGTCACACTTACATCTGAGTCACAGGCTTGTGCAACATCTACCCTGACTGGCAAACCTATTCCTGCCGAACCTCACTCTTCTCAACCCAGTGGATCTGGGCAGTGGGAAATATAAGTGGGCAATATCCCAGGCTAACATGAGTGAGTGGTGACATTTTTGCCATTTGCTAATGTCCATATTTGTCTTTTGATATGCTTTATCCAGATGGTAATAAATTATTTTCCTTGCACAGTCTCCATATCATTTTTCTATGTAGTAAAATAACTGTTTTAATTTTCAATATTCCATAACATAACCTGCGCCACCAGTCACATTGGCCAGGAATACAATGCTGTGTATGGAAATGGTGACCTCCCTGGAGCCAGCCTCTTCCAGTCATGGCTTATGCAGATTACATTCTACATTCGTTTATCGAAGGGAATAATGCAAAAGCTGTCACTCATGATGGCAAGTTTGCGGCACCTGGCCCATGGCCATTATGTCCAATAACGGCATGTTCAGGTCACCCAGCCCATTACCCAGATTTTTCCATGACAGGATGGTCATGTCACCCGGATCATAGGGATTAATACTTGCACTGAAACTGTTTTTGTCTCCCCAACTTATTCTCCTAACTATGAAAAGAACTGATCAGACTGTGAAAACGACTTACTTGTCTACCTTGTAGATTATGATGCAGTGGCAGTACAGTGCTACACTCTTCCTCCCAGAGGGGAGTGTACGTCCTACACCAATTTTGCCAAGATTAGCTTCCATAGACATGACCTCCTCCATGAAGTTATATTAGCGGAGTATCTTGCCCTGTCTGACCATATTGACCCCTTCCTTGTCAATGTTACTCCACATCCCACTGCTCTCTAGGTGCCCAGCCTGGTTATGACCATTCAAATTGCCCTGCTTAGTCACATATATGTGCCAATTGTAGTGGTTCCCATGATGTATTTTATAGGAGCTGAGACCAGATAGGAAGCACAACAACAAGGTTTTTCTCTCTCTATCTATTCCAAAACTGTTCTTTGCTCTGCTCCCCTCCCATCTTCAAAAGATGTCTCAGCATCTCTCCAATCATCTCTTCCCTCTACCACCAACCATCCTACCTTTTTCCCCCTGTCAAATTCCTTTTCTAGTCTAAATCCAGATGCTCCAATCTATACCCCTTCCCCAATGCTTACCCCTCCTTCTCATTCTATCTGTTGCACCTGTTGCACTCCCTCTTCTCCTACACCCTCCTTTTCCTCTGCTCTTCAAACATCTAGCCCCTCTTCTCCTCCTTACAAGAGAGCCTTTGTTTCTCAGACCTCCCCACCCACCTCCCCTCTAGAAACTCTTGAAGACATCCTGTAATTCCTAAACATGACCCAAGAGAATGCTCCGCTACTACATCCACCCTCCAATCCTTTTATTCCCATTCCCTATACATTCAAAGTAGTTGTCAATATCCATCTTCCTCCACCTCAAGTTCCCCCTACCTCTTTTCATCCCACTCTTTCCCAACACACCCTATCCTCTCCACCTCCATGTGCACCATTCCCCTCTTCATTCCCTATTATCCTTACAGCTCTCCCCCAGATGCTCACCTGAATCCCTTGAAACGACAGTATCTTTCTCTGGACCCCTCTCTTCCTGACATTCTTCCTGATACTTCGTCACCTTCCTCAAATTAGGTCTTTATCTTATTCCCCAGATTCTTCTACTTCTCCAATAGCCATCTCTACCCATATTACTTGTTGATTGTTCATAATAGATCTTTTGCCAGTTTTCCTTCCCCAACCACAGGTACACTCCATGTCATCCAATCAGGCTATGCCCATAACCCTTTCCTCTTTTACTAATTTTCGCTTTACTTCATTTCCCTCCCAATACCTTGCTCACTGTTGCCGTGGGAGGACTTAGGAGACGAAAACAAAGGCCCAATATAGGGGACCACCCCTGCCTTGGGCCTTTGCCCTCGCCTCAACTAATTTTGCTTTGTCTTTTCTTTTCTCCTTTCCTCTTCTGCATCTTCTTCATTCCCTTCTATCCCATTCCTAAGGTGTGAAAGGTTGAAAGGCTGGCTTTGTGTCAGCCTCCAAGAGCCATGGGTACGGTATCTCCTTGGTTAACCCATTGCCCCCGGGTGGCACGTACGTACATGCCATGGCTGTTGTGAACCAAACTCCGGGGGCATCATGTCATGCCCATTCTCGCGCTACTGGCTTGTCGGACAGAGGTTGTTTTTCTACGGTAGTAGCAGCTTCATTTATATGGTAAAGATTTTAGGCAATGGCACCTAAAGTGAAGGTAAACCTTCAAAATTTTAATATTTTTATAAATTTTAGCAAAATAAAAACTTTTAGGTGCTATATGTCGCTCGCAAACTACCAATCAAGCCGGGCGCAAACAGGGGAAACTGCCGGTGCACGCCAACAAGCCCGTGCATACGTAAACTTGCCAAAATTTTTACCCGGCGGTGATGGGTTAATTGCCTTGCCCTAACCCCTTATGGGGACCCTGAGAGGTAGACCGTTTCTTTTCCCCATTTTATTCAGGCTCACCATGGCGAATTATGAAGATTCTTTACCCTTAATAAGGGCATTAAGGCTTGCCCCTTCATCAGATAGCCTAACTGAATTTGATTTTGATGGTTTTCAGACCCCTGCCCCTCCTTTGACTACGGCTCCAACAACTGATACTAATACCCCCTCTTCAATGCTTATGAACAACTCTAACCATTCCAAAACAACCACCTAGGTTATTATTCAACCTCTAGAAAGCACCACTTCCTCTTCCCCAACATTCTCCTTTTCATCTCCTGCAGCACTGTCCCCTTCAATGTATACCCCCTCTTCCCTTGTTACTACTCTTCATCCTTAATGTCCTCCCCCCTGCAGAACTACTCCACTCCACACCACCCCATCTTCCTCTCGCCCACATCCCTCTACTGCTTCTACCTCTGCAAACCTTCTGAGTACTCTCTTTGGCCCAGCCAAGTGGGATTGATTCTTTGTGATTCCCCCCCACAGCTCCCTATTCTGAGAATACCCTTCTCTTTCAACAGTGCCTCCAGAAACAAGTAGGCAAGGTTACCTTTCACAGTTGTTCTAATCGTTCACGCCTTGTCCCAGTTACATCTGAATCCCAAGCTCGTGCACTATCTACCCTAACTGACCTTACTGGCAAACTTATTCCTGCCGAACCTCACCCCTTTTAATACTTGTACTGGAACTCTTTCTATCCCCCCAAATGCTTGTCCTATCTACTGATCAGACCTACTTTCCTGCCTTGCTGAATATGTAGTGGTAGTAAAGCGTTACACTATTCCTCCCAGAGGCCAGCATAAGTCCCATGTCAATATTGCCAAGATTAGCTTCCATAGACAAGACCTCCCTCATGAGGTTTATATTGGTGGATTATCATGTCTGACCATTTCAACCCCTCACTTGTCAATGTCAGAAATGTTGGCGTTTTGGCCACCCAGCCAAACATTGTCACTCCACAGCCCGTTGCCCTCTTTGTGCCTAACCTAGTCATGACCACTCAGATTGCCCTCCTCAGTCATGTACATGTTCCAATTACGGAGACTCCCATAATGTATTTTATAGGAGCTGCCCTGCCTATAAGTTTGAATATGAAGTAGCAGTCTTCAGATATAAACTAGGCCTCACTCTACATGAGGCCAGACAAGAATCTCAACAAGGTTTTTCTCCCCTCCCATGTTCAAAAGATGTCTCAGCATCTCCCCCATTATCTCTTCCCTCTACCACCAACCATCCTACCTAATTCCTTTTCTAGTCTAAATCAAGATGCTCCAATCTCTACCCCTTCCCCAATGTCTAGCACATTCGTTAGTTTCAACCATTAACCATTAACTATTAACCAGTTCATTCTTCTCTGTTTAGTTGTTTTCTTACTCTTATAAAGGAGTTGGTAAATAAAAGGGAACTTGTAGAACATTTTCTTTATTTGAAAGGACAGGCTGAAATGGTGCACAAAAGAACTTATCAAAAGACATGTGACAAGATTTTAGATACCTCAAAGGAAAAAAGGGGGGAAAAATCAATAGCAAAAGTAGTATCATATATTCTTGACTCTGTAATGATAACAAAATGTTATACACCTGATTAACTGAATGCTCATACCAATATGACAGGGTTTATAAATAATTGTAATGCAACTAGTAAAAAAAAATAATAATTCAACAGGATTAATTACTGTAAGTCTCATATTGACTGTTAAGCCAGTAACCTTGGTGTACATCTTACCTTTTAATATCTCGTCTCACTATGCATTCACACAAAAAAGAAGCTTCTGAATGTAAAATATTGTACATAACTAGCTTAAAGCACCTCTTTCTGCTAACAACCTGATCAAGCATACAAATATTGAGTTTATATCATTATCATATAAATCCTCAAGGATATCATAATATCAGTTGTTAACTATTGAAATATATATCAAACAAATAATTTTATAAAAATGGATGAATTAGAATCATTTTCAAAAATATGTGTTACTTGAATTTCATAGACAAACCTTAACCTATGAGTACTAGTCAGCAATATAAGAAATAGCCACATTTGTATTTGTTACAATGTAAGAGGAATACAGTACACCTGCTAACTTTGCAACTTTGTAACTAAAGCTCCACATATAAAAAAATAATTTAAAAAATTGCTTCATGTTTGCTAGTCAGACTGCCTGTATGTGAATTTGCTGTGGAAAAATGGGCCACCCATACATTAACTTTTAATTTCATAAATCTGATAGAGTTGAGCCTTGTATTGCTAACTCTCAGCAATATCTTGCATAAAGTTATGTATGTATGTATATATCTGTGTGTGTATGTGTGTGTGTATGTGTGTGTGTGTATGTGTGTGTGTGTGTGTGTGTGTGTGTGTGTGTGTGTGTGTGTGTGTGTGTGTGTGTGTGTGTGTGGTGTGTGTGTGTGTGTGTGTGTGTGTGTGTGTGTGTGTGTGTGTGTGTGTGTGTGTGTGTGTCTGTGTCTGTGTGTCTGTGTCTGTGTCTGTGTTGTGTCTGTGTTGGGTGGGTCTGTGGGTCCGAGTCTGTATCTCTGTGTCTGTCTTTAGAAGGGGTCGTGACTGAAATTAAGGTATGGTTGTTTGGGCTTCTTCACATTGTTGGGTTATTCACATCAATATTAAGTGGTTACTTTTGATAACTGGTGTCATCTTCATAAGCGGTTATGGAAGAAAATGAAGGACTGTCTCAGACAGGTTTGTCTCCCCACATTGTTACCCTAGCTTCAGAGTCATGTTGCTAATAAGTTTATCTTCATATACTGACTTGTTTTTTCTTACTTATGAGGGATATTACTCATGCAGAAGATATATTTTGGTGTGTGAAAAGAGTTATGAAGAAGTAAAGTTGCAAAATATAGGGGAAGAGGGGAATGTGAGAATCAAGCAAAGTGTCAACTATATTACTTTTATAAAATCAATATGAATAACTTTATTTTGAAAATTTCCTCATTGTAACACAAGCTGCCTACCACATTCTTTTAATGAAAGTAGGATTAGTGGAATAATGAAATTGCCTCCCTTAAAATAATTTGAAAACTTCAATTATTTTGTGACACGACCATAAAATTACTGTACATCATCCAATTAAAACTTTAATATCTTGAAGAAAATAAAACAGGATAAACAACAGCAAATGTATCATTATAACAATGTATAGTAACAAAATCACCAGTTACAAAAAATAACTATTCTTTTTTCTTCATTCATTTAAATAATTTATTTTCGTAATTTCATCTCAACCCTTACAGGGCAAACCTTAGGACTGCATATGCATGCAAGATGGGATTTTTTTCTTTGTGTGTTGTGTTGTGTGTGTGTGTGTGTGTGTGTGTGTGTGTGTGTGTGTGTGTGTGTGTGTGTGTGTGTGTGTGTGTGTGTGTGTGTGTGTGTGTGTGTGTGGTGTGTGTGTGTGTGTGTGTGTGTGTGTGTGTGTGTGTGTGTGTGTGTGTGTGTGTGTGTGTGTGTGTGTGTGTGTGTGTGTGTGTGTGTGTGTGTGTGTGTGTGTGTGTGTGTGTGTGTGTGTGTGTGCGTGTGCGTGCGTGGCGCTGCGCGTGGCGCAAGCGTGCGTGGGCGCGTGCCTGCGTGGGCGCATGCGTGCGTGGGCGCGTGCGTGCGTGCGTGCACACACACGCAAGCACACACGCTTTTTAACTCAGTCACAACAGGTGAGATTTTGACTCAAGTCTGGTGATGCCATGGTGCATTAGCATGAGCCAGTCTGTGTGTGGACCAGAGTCCAGCTCATAGCCAGGCTACCTAAACATCATCCCAGCCACTACAACCCAGGTTCAAGATATGATAAAAAACCATCCAACATGAGTGAAGTTTTTGCACTGACATGATTCGACATCATCTGGTGTGATTGATTGGGTTCATTTGAACTTTCTAAGAGACATCTGTGTTTTGTTGTGTGCACACATACCTGAGAAAGACAACTGCCATATTTCATCTTTCAGGGGTTAATATACAAAAATCAAAAATCCCATTTTACAAGCAACAAAAACAAAAATAATTACTCTGGCACTTTTAAATTTGTATCAAATTAGATTATTATAATAACAACAAATTTACAAGTGGGAGAACTCAGTTAGTGCTTGGATGAATAGATAAACATATTTGTTTCTAATATGCATTTCCTCTAAATGCTTCAAAAATAAATTGTAAAATTTACGACAGGAATATGTAAAGTTAATTTGCTTAGTGATTTATGTTTCTACATACACTGCATTAATAGTGCATAATGAATTGAGAAATATATGTGAAAAAAAATATACCCTTTTTTAACCTTTTTACAATACAGTAGCTTATTTTTTTATTAGACTGTGATTCTTTGTATACATTGATTATCTACTGCTGAGATAATTTAGCTTTTATGTGGAAGCTTAGAGAGCTTGGAACAGTTTCAAGAGGTAGATAAATACCTTTACAATAAAAACATGATTTTGCAACAGGAAAATGGTTACTGATAATTCATCAGCATAATATCTGCTAATGTAGTCTGTAAACAGTAAAACAATAAATCCAGATTATGCAACCACATGATATCCAATGAATATCACATATCAAATGCTATTCCTCCTAAAGCAAACAAAACTGTGAAACCAATTTATTAAGGTCTAGCAATTACAGTAATTTTTCTCATAGAGTATACCAATATACCATTCCTCAAACTACAAAAGAGTTAGGAAGAAGCTGTACACTGCAACTAGGACGGCGGAGCATTAGGCTGGTATTCCTGTGTGTAGGGTGGAGGCTTCTGGCCATCAACTGGGTAACCTGAGCAGTGAAAACTCATATTACTCAATAATACATTTTAACAACATTCAGAGAGAGAGAAAAAAAAGAGAATGTCAATCAAGCACTAATTACCAAATATGTTGTAACTTATGGACACTATACTGATAAAATATTTTAGTATCAAACTTTTCTTTTCTCTGTTACTCTTCCTATTATGTAAAGTATGAGGGAGCAAATTATGTTCACCTATTCAAGATGGGATGGCATTCTATCACATCATGGCAGAATATCGCTCATGCCAGAATGAAATTGTTAAATCACTTGTGGTTAAGCCTTATCTAAAAAATTGAGTATGCCACAGACAAAAACATAGACAGCATGGTCATTTTATTGTTTCTGTGCTTCTAGTTTTCCCTTAAGTAGATGACTTTGCTCACGCCTAAGTATGGTGCTAGGGGCTCCCATTATGAATTGCTTAATCAAGCACCAAATGGCAACAAATCTGTTTCATTAATACTAATACTTATAGAAGCAATACTATTTTTAAAATTCCAGTATCAATTATTTCATTCATACATTATTTTCATGTAGAACATGTATAAATTTCCTGATACTAAATAACATAATAGCCTTTTCTATATCTAGAAACATCTTTATCACATAAATACCAGATCCAGGTTGAGTAAAATCAAAGACACTAGAAAAATGACGAATCAGTCTGACAAACTTAAAAAAGTACCCAACTCAAATTTCAGCCTATTAACTTGTTTTAGTAACAAGAAATTTGACATAAAACAGGCAAGTTGAGTAACAATATACAGCCTATTAGTTACACTGTCTAATTTGGACTGACTGATGTAGAATCCATGAGTGTAATTTGTCAACTTTCAGATTCCTACACAAAAATCAAATTAAAGGCTGCAGTACTGCAATTCTTTTTATTATTGCCATATAAGCAATTACTAAAAATATATAATTTTATATAAAATTCTAATTAATAACATTAGGAAATGAGAAATAGTATAATGCAGAAATGTTTTGGGAAAGTAAAATACAGTGCTTTCATTCTTAACCTGATAACTACAATATATATCATAAGATAGACACCATGGAGTTGATGTTAATCATATGACGGTACAAATAGTCAGGCACACTACGTATTGTTTCCATAAGCAATGGAAGCACACAGTGAAAGATCCAAGCATGGCAAAACAAAGTGGCAATGGCAAAATTACTGCCCCAAGTGCTAGGACCAGCAGGTCCTCTGCCACTACCCCATGAAACTGAACACAAGACGATAAGCCAAAAGTGTTACTTGCACAGTTATCAGGTTAAGTAGTACAGAAAATACTTTTAAGCTGTGGAATGCAACGGAAAATAACTAATGAGTAATGAAATAAAAATATTAAAGAAACATCTTGTCATTCTTGACAACTTACCTTCAAAATTAAAGTAAAATAAACACAATTGTTATGATTACCACTAGTTTCACAAACAGAAAATAATGAAAATTATAGAGAAGTATTTAAATATGGTTTTCTAAGGCTACCTTCAGGGGGAGCAGAAGCCACATATGGTGCTCCCTGTGCAGGATATGGTGGAATAGGTTGTGGTGGGTAAGGCTGCATAGGAGGCTGCCCGTCACCTGTTAGTTAATTATTTGGGGTTATTTGTGTATCCCTGCCACCAAAAGAATCAGCAAACATGCAGAAGAATATATGTTAACCTTAAGAAAACTAAATTAATTAGATGAGCTGTGCAATATTTCATATTGAAATCAATACTTGTGCATTGACCAATGTTTTTCTAAGAGGAGTTTAGTTAGCATTTATATGCCAAAGCTTAGATTTTTTGGTCAATAGTCAGATTATAGGATATTTCTAATACTCTCACTTTCACCCACACATGCACACATGCATATATATCATAGGTGCATGTATGCATGTTTAACTATCATAACTCATATTAAAGCAAATAAGAGAGACATTGTCATTCAAATGTCTAAACTTAAATGTCTCAATATATTCATTAAAAGCATTCCCTGATTCTTTGCCCAATTCACATACCTTGTGCTGGGTAAGGGGCAAAACCAGGCTGTTGTGCATATGGAGCTGCAGGATATACACCACCTAGCCAATATGAACCCCAGGAAGAAAGGTGCAGCAATAATAATAAGCATTTATTTCAAATAAAATGGGTATTTTCAGGAAAAAAAGATTCTACATCATATTGGTGAATCTTTTTTGCTTTGTTTTAGATAATCATAGTAATGTCAATGCAAGCTCCAAAGGTGAAGCAGTTTCCAAAAAGAAAAAATAATTTGTAAAACCAATAAAATCAAACAAAACTAAATTCAACACATAAGCTAGAAAATTGTTAACCCATAACTTAATCTCCTTGCAATCATTTCACAAGTTAGCATATAACAGTACTGCAGTTCCCAAAATATGGTGTGCATGCCCATGAGATGACCCTTTGGGGAGAGCTACAAAAAAAAATCAATACTTTCTAAAAATAAATTTTTGCCTCATTAACATATCAACCTACAATTTTTAGGTCAGGAAAATGACAAACAAAATCAAAAGATTAATTTGATAAATTTGATGGCATACACATCCGAAGGTGTTCTCAGACCAATTGCACAAAAATACATTTATCAAATATTTCATGAGTTTATTTGGACCATTGCCTTTATCTATAACAAAAACATAGACATGTTAATCTACTACAATCATGAGACTGTAGAGCAATAATGTGAATATATCAAATCTTATGTAATCGGTGAAAGTTTAAACTAACAAAATATTCAATAAAAGTAGTTTTAGACAAATGATCTGAGAACGTCTTCAGATGTGAGTGCCCTGAAATATTGATAAGTACATGATCAAGTAGCCAATGTTCACATATGGAGAATTGTAACAGTGGCAGCTGGAGAGGGCACATGTAGCATGTACTGTAGCTTGAAATTTTGGGAGCCACTATACAGAATAGGAGCATTAACCTGGTTAGTAAAATAACCTTTAAAAGGAGGATAAAAAGGAAAAAAAACATGGTTCCCAATATCTTTACATGAAGAAAGCAGTGCATTTGATTTGCTTCCCATTAGCAAGAAATAAAATTGTAAAAAAGATAACAAACCCTGATTAATTCATTCAGTAACTACCAACCTGTTGGGTATGGCTGTTGTGGAGGATACTGTGCCTGAGGAACTGGCTGACCAGGTGGAACATATGTGTGCTGAGAGCCAAAGTTTGGGTCTTGTTGCACTGGCTGGCTCTGCAAAGCAACTGGTCCTTGACCACCTGCCTGGCCACCACGCATGAATGGCAGCCCTTGGAACCTGTTCATAACTTGCCTGGAATGTTAGTGGGTAATCAGAACCAATAAACAATTAAATATACATACATGAACTCATTATCTGGAATAATGAAAATTTATGTAATAAAACCTTGAGTGGATAACGATTTTACAGATTCAATCTTCTAGATATAATCTTAATCAAGAACTTGGTGAGTGCAAGAACAAATAATTAAAACAATAATAGCAAATACATAAAATATGACCAGAGAGTTTTAGAGTACTTTAATTTTCATATACTAGAACTTTGTTTTAGTAGCCCAGAACACACCCCATGCCTAATCTCAGCAATAAGTTTGCATATCACTCTAGCAGAGATCATCAATCTTTAAAAGGAGGTCACCTTCTCTTCCATAGTACAGAAACTTATCTGAAGGCAATGCAGTTTTTAGTCCATTATGCAAAAAAATGCCAAGTGACATCTGTTAACCACTGTCCGAATAGCAGAGGTTCCTTTGACAGGGGAAGAGAGTCATTTCAAACTGGGTCCACTGGCTTTCCCAAGAAAAAAACAAGCCAATTTGAGACAGACTTAACCCTCTGAGTAGCCTGGTTATCTTTCCTTGTCATGTGCTGGTAAGACACTGCAAATAGCTTGAGATAGAGCAAAAATCTTACCATCAGGCTGATTAGCCCCTATTATATCAAAGAGCCAGAGACTTTTAGGTGTCTTGTAACCAAGCTAACCATACTGTGATAACGAGTAAGTTTCATCATTCATATCTCACACTGATACTCATATCTGGATTAAACAAATAACAATACATCTAAAATAAAGTACCCATACATGATTCCATTGTATTGCATAAACCATAGTTTAGTTTGCTTTGCCCTCTAATGAAACAATAAATTAGCTCTAGTCTTCTACATAACATTTGCAAACAGTAAACATATATCATAATAATGCTGCAATTAAGTAATCACTCAACTTATTAGCTGATTATGCCCAACATGAAATCTTAAAATATCATCAAAATATTTCAAAATAAGTCTAGGTAGTAAAAGTCACAAAGGATAAGCTGGAAACTGAATGAAGTTCATTTGCCACTAATTTTCATCTTGAAACATTCACATACTTATGCTTTCCTCCACGGCAACAGCAGAAGTAGATGAGACCACCAATCAAGAGGAGGCCGATCACTCCACCCACTCCTCCTCCTGCCTTTTCACCCACGTCACTACCTGTTTCATAATTTTGGTAAGAGCGTAAGCATAAATTTTTGCAAAAATGACATATCATTTATATTATATATTTCATTTGCATGAACACAATCTTCATAATTTATGAATTCAAAGAAAATACAAAACTAAAACATCACCACCCTTTCTGTCAACAATTTTCTTCCTTATTCAGCAAAAAGAGGAAGAAATGAGATCACAATGATAACAATTTAGAAACCTACTTGCCCTCCCACCCTCCCAAAAAAAAGATACCTGCGCCCTCCCAATGCTCCTTCTACAAGCAAATAAAAGGCTTGCATTCTCAGGTATTCCCCACTCTTATTATTATTCTATTTATTACCATCTACTAACATAATACTGTCTTATAAATAGGTTTAACATTTTGAAAAATAAAACTGATATTGATAATAATAACAATAACAATAATAATAATAATAATAATAATAATAATAATAATAATAATAATAATAATAATAATAATAATAATAACAACAGTAAAAACAACAATAATAATTGATAAATAGAAATGAATAATATAAGTATGATTTGGCAACCTAAAACAAAATAAGTTGACATTCAGGGCCACTTAAGTTACCTCCTCTAGTAGTTCCATGGCCACCTCGTTGATTGGGGTTGTAACCAGGCTGATTGGGGTTGTAGCCAGGTTGATTGGGTTTGTAGCCAGGTTGATTGGGGTTGTAACCAGGTTGATTGGGGTTGTAACCAGGTTGATTGGGGTTGTAGCCAGGTTGATTGGGGTTGTAGCCAGGTTGATTGGGGTTGTAGCCAGGCTGATTGGGGTTGTAGCCAGGCTGATTGGAACCAGGATAGCCAGGTTGTGGAAGTGGTGGAGGACGAGGCTGCGGTGCTGGAGCTGGAGCAGGAGGTGCTTTGGGTGCTGTACCCCCTGTGCTACCACCACCACCAGGGAAGTCAAACGGAAGATCGTCAAATGCACTGCCTGGCCTCCCTGCCTGCGTTCCACCAGCTGTTTTTGATGCCTCACCGGGAACACATACCCCAAGATTCTTGTCTTCATGGGTGCCAGTGGGACAGCCACAGTACCTCCCTTTGCACACACCATCATACAGTCTGCCACAGGGATCATTTATTTCACCTTTGCTTGGATCCAAATTACATTTTGTACCGGAAACACCTGTTGCAAAAAACAAACAATTAATATTGAAATAATAGTATATATGACTATTCATTCCGCTACATATAGTTATATATAATATGCTTACAAATTTCTTTTCAGTAAAGGTCATGTAGTTCCACAAATCATTAATATTTCCCCATATACCATGGATTTGTAATTCATGTTTAATTCCATGAAAAAAGCCACAGGAAAACAATCTGTGGGTGAATCACACAAGATTTCTTATCTGATGAGAATATGGTAAATTGGTGACCTTAGCTTCAGTTTTCAGTGTTCCAGTTGCATTGCTGCTGTGGCTGGTAATACACAATGCACATGAGTACACTTATGCTGACTTGGCTCAGTTAGGATGCTGGTTCACAAATGCTTTATATATTGTCACTAATGCCCAGATAATCTTCATTAAAAAAAATCAGATCACAGAGAAAACAACCCTGAGCAAAGAAAAAATGGTCAAATAGGTTTTATGTTGGAATAGTTGCCATATGCTGAAATCATTGGCACCCTTGCCCTGGAGTAACCATATTCCCTGATTAGGTCATTGTTTTGGCAATCAACAGCATGGAGTGTATGTGCTACCATAGCTGGGTTAGTTAACAACATGGATTGTATGTGCTAACATAGCTGGGTTAGTTTGCTGTGGTAAGAGATAGATCTGAAAATAACCAAAATGCAAATGAGCCTACGAAACTCTTCCTCCGTCTCCCAAACAAATTACTTTATTAGCCACCATGGTTGTAGTTCCAACATTAGAACCCTTATCTGATCTTTTTTCACATGAGCAAATGCAACCTCATATGATAAGACCTTGTGATTATTGTGATTTGATGTGGGTAAGATGAGAACACAAAGTTTGACTTGGTTATATCTGGTCAAGTTAATTTTGGATAGTTTAGGTTAGGTTTGGTATGTTCATTTGGTTATTATGACAAGGCAATGAAGTATATTCATGTTAGTTATTCATGGCAAGTAACCTCTAATAAGTTTGTTTGTTGCTTTTTCATTATGAAAAAAAATCAATCCTGCTTACAGGTTTCCAAGAACTTTAGTCAGATGGAAATATAAACATTGCAAGTTATAGCATTTACAGAATACTTATCAAGTCTAGTGAGCAATGTTTCATTCTCTCTCTCTCTCTCTCTCTCTCTTCTCTCTTCTCTCTCTCTCTCTCTCTCTCTCTCTCTCTCTCTCTCTCTCTCTCTCTCTCTCTCTCTCTCTCTCTCTCTCTCTCTCTCCCTCTCCTCTCCTCTCTCTTCTCTCTCTCTCTCTCTCTCTCTCTCTCTCTTTCTCCTCTCTCTTTCTCTCTCCT